ATTGTGAATCCCAAGAGGCCTAAAATGGAAAAGTTTAGGTCTAATTTATTGTCGTACAGAAAACTGGTTGGTTGTTTTCAGTGGTGGGCACTAGTCCCCTAAAACGCAAATGGGCTAATTCTGGACCTAAGTTTCTCTTTTGTGCTTTAGGGGTTTTACTAATTTCATAAAATGATGTGTGGATTTGTGCTTTGTAAATTCAGAATTGAGTAGCGCTAATCGCAAATAATGTTTCACATTCAAATGTCAATTTCATCTAAAGCAAAGCTAAAACGCTGTCTAGTCTCGCGACATTTAACAACCACGTAATTCATTAAGGCTTAGAGTGGTGGGCACCAGGCCGCTAAAGCGTAAATCTGCTAATTGCGGACATAAATATTTTATTTGCGCTTCAGTGGTCTTATTAATTTTTATAATTCTGATGAAGACAGACATCTAGTGGCCAACTGGAGCAGCAACATGGAAAACTTTAAAATCCGACCACGCTCTTATTTTGAAGTGAAGATAGTTTCTTGTACTCCGTGCTTTCGTTTGCCGTCACAAATCAAATCCGTCATGTACCCAGAATGCATCGCTTCAGTTTTCCAAAAAACTGTTTTAAAATTACTTTAATGATGCTTCTTGAGACAAAGAAGCAGCCGAACTAGCAATCCTCAACACCTTTTTAATTTTTACACCAGGAGCCAAAGGTCTGTTTCATGAAATCACATCCCTAGCATTCGGTGGTTGTAGGATTAAGCATTAAAAGGGTTCATACACCACTAGTTGGCAGTGTTATGCATATTTTGAACATGAATTATTGCCAGCTAGTAAGTGTCAAATTGAACTTGTGCTTTAAAATTAGCTTCCTCTAGTTTTTCTATGGCATAAGTGTTTTTGAACTTGTGGACCTAAATATTTTCATAAGCACTATAGAAATTGCGTAGCTAATTTTTGGATTAGTGCTGCACACCACTAAAAATTTAATCAACATTTTCTTAAGCAATGAAGGGGAAAGCCATCTCTGCTGAACACAATGAATTTCCACTGTGAGGACACAGCAACCCCTAAGCCAGCATTGCATTCACAGAGCTTTATACTCTGACTTCTGACTCTTCTCGGTGATGGTTTTTACTCTGTAGACACTGTAGTGTTCCCACAATTCTCTGCGTGGCAGGAAGCAAACAATTTCTTCACTGGGTGACAATCCACCAGCATTTCTGATCTGCAGAACCCCACTCAGCTGTGCATATTGCCCTACCTCCTCTCTGCGGAACACCGTAGCAATAAATATTGAATAAATAAATAATAGTAAAGAAAGAAACACGGAACAGTAGAAATTTATGCTCTTATTTTAAAAATAAAGGAGTTCCTGTTCTGTGTCCTGTAGCCTACCCAGAATGCATTGTTTCAGTTTTACTACCAACAGTTTAAAATTACTAATATATCTGCGTATTTTCTTACTGAAGCTCAGCCATGAACATAAGAAAATGACCAAGAAGCAGCAGAACTGGCAATCCACAACTATTTTTTGTTTTAAAACCATGATTTAAAAGTAAATATACGCACACTTTCACGCAACATTGGTTTTGAAACATCACAACGTGAGCGCAGAACCTAGCGCACGCAACTTTTTTATGCGTATGCACCTTTTATACATGAGGCCCCAGATGAGTGAAAGTAAGAAAACAAGCCCTGAAACATATGTGTGGACACTTTTTCATCTCTTTCATTCATATTTATTCCAACCTAAGCTTTTGTGGTTTTGCTCCAGTGTCAGATGGTGTGATCCAGTTATTGGAGGGTCTTGATGGCAGGTTGATGGCCAGTCTGAAGGACGTGCTGGTAGAGAGAAACCAGCTGACCCTTGGCAAGGAGCTGGGCAAAGGTAATTGTTTGTCGGTATTAGTCCTGTCTTTGATTTACAGTACAGGGTCCATTGTGCTGCCCAAAATTTCGGTAAATTCATCTTTTTGTTGTAATTTTAGCTTTTTTCTCTAATTCAGCAAACATGCAAAGTGCATGTTTCTACTCATTTAAGCCTGTCTATGTTTTAAGTTATTTTTGATATATGTTTTCTGCTAATTTAAGCTTTTTCAACAAATTTCAGCTTCTGTGTGCCTCTTTTTTGCTTTTTCTGCTAATTTA